GAATCAATGAATCAACAACTTTGTGACCCCGTACATCCATTTCACGCAGCTCACTTAAGGATTAACCTGCAGAAACCAAACATTTGCTCAAACAAGACTTCCTACACATCTAAAACCTACAAACAGCAAATTATTGAATTCTAGGTACTTAACCAAACATTTTCAAACCAAAAGGAGTATATATGTTAACAAAACTTGCATTTGACTTACCAATTAACAATGGACACTTTCATAACGCGGATGCAGGTAGGCAGCGTCTCGAATATATTGCTCTAGCCATATAATGCCGAAACCACAAGCCTACTACAGCTCTATCTCTATCGGTGGGAGGTAAAAACTATGTGCTTCCCGTCGTCAAACGCGCCAAGCAAAGGCATACGAGAGGACCACAATCCCCTCTGGCTCCCGGCGATTACTGTGGCGCGATCTCGTCTCTGACAACTGTGACATTGAACTTCTTTGGCTTCTTGTGTCCAGAATGACTCCAATACTTAATCCCATCCAAGAATTTAGCCAAATGAGAGCTCCATCCCTTGAAAATATCTCTCAAATCAGACAGTGATATGTAATTGATCATGATGTCATACACTATTATCTTTAGGGATGGGAGCTGAAGTTGGACGAGAAGCCAGTGACGACGTTCCAAAACAGGGATAAACACCTGCGATCATAAGTAATAATTCATTTATTTGCGCACTTATTTATGAACACCTTTAAAAAATTTAAAAAATAAACACTAACCTTATCGACCTCCCACCATGCAGGATAAAGTTTAGCTTGTCCATTGCCCAACAAAATGATTCATCTCGTTGATTCTTCAAGTGAACTGCGTGAAAAGCCGTCGGCATTATTGTATATAGCGAATTTTTTTTATTTTTCCTAAGCTTCCTTATTATTAGTAGACGTGACACCCACGCATCGATATGCTGTTTACAAAAAATACATATATTAGTGAATTACATTAATTTTTAAACAAATTAATCAAAATCATATATAAGACAAATATAAGACTTACCTTCCCATCCAAATAGCCACTGTCTTCAACCCCTAATAGCACACCCCACCAAGACCAATCAAGCAACAAAAACATTTCATCGTTGAGTTTGCTGATGTCAGTGTAACACCCTTGGCTCCGCTCATGTAGATAAAAATCAACTGCGGTCTTAGCCCAAAGGGTATTATCCACAATTGTTTCCGGTAGTTGTCTCCTCTCCACTTCAGATACCGGAAGGGTACTAGCCGGTAACTCATACGAGAGCTAACTCTCATCCATCATGTCCGGAACCGGTGGGGGTTTCTCAATACTTCGATATATTACCCCATGTGAATCGGGCTCTGGAATGGTGGGAGGGACCTCTTCAACGATGACAGTGGCCTCTTGAACGGTGGGAGGGAATCTTGAGGGAGAATAGGGGCCTCTTGAACGATTGGAGGGGACTCTTGAGGGATGACCGGTGAGTCGGGCTTCTTCTTACGGAGTCTTCGCACCATTGGGGTGAACGGAGACGTAATAGCACGTCCACGCCGTCTAATGCGTGAACTCCGTCGTGCAAGGAAAACCCGACGTAAAGCATCCACCTTATCGGGCCGCTAAAAAAAATTAATACATAAATCAGTAAATAAACAGACATGATATTAAACAAAGACAAATATGTTTCAAACTAGCATTGTATTCACCCAAATCATTATTCTATCATAGTTCACAAAATGCTCAGATAACATTCCAGAAGTAAGCACTTATATAAACATTTAAAAGGACAACATATATAAACATTCCAGAAGAAGAATAGTTTACTTTCGCAACACGAAACTTAAAATCACAACGCGAAATGACTATTGCAATGCGGAAATGGCTATCGCAATGCGAAATGAAAATCGCAACGACAAAATCGCAACGCGAAATGAAATCGTAACGACAAAATCGCAACGCGAAACACAAATCGCATTGCGATTTTCATTTCGCGTTGCGATTTTGTCGTTGCGATTTCATTTCGCGTTGCGATTTTGTCGTTGCGATTTTCATTTCGCATTGCGATAGCCATTTCCGCGTTGCGATAGTCATTTTCGTGTTGCGAAAGTAAACTATGCTTCTTCTGCAAATTGAAACTTGAATGGATTGCATTACTTCAACCAAAAGACAAAAACAAAACCAAAAACAAATACTAACAAAAACAGTTTAGCAGTATTGGCAGCAACCGAATGAATTACGAGTATGAAAAATCTTAAACTTACCTCGTTGAGTAGAGTATGAACCTCATTCTGCAACGATGCTACCATCTCACGTAGAGCGGCTACCTCACCGCGTAATGTAGACACCTCAACACGCCATGCACCATCGTCTTTGCGTAAAGTACCGACCTCCTCACGCAAAGCATTGACCTCATCACGTAACTCCCCTAACTCATCCCGTTGAGGTGGAGGTGGAGAACAGGGAGATAAACGTCGTGGCATCTTTGCCGGTCGCCTATCTTGCGGTGATGGTGGAGAAGAGGCTCGATGATGTGACAGAATAGGTGATGGTTGTCGTTGTGGAGGTGTATAGCCGGGTCGATCAGATGATGGCTCTGGGTGAGGTGATAGCTCTGGGCAAGGTGATGGCTCCCGAAGTGGAGGCTGCTCATCAACCGTTCCATCAAAAAAACGCTTACTAGCTTGCCACCAATCAGTGGCAAGCTCAGCTTCCGTGGGTGTCAGCCTCTGTAGAGGAGTGTTGGCCTCCTAACAATATAAAAGCTCAAACAAAGTTAAACGTGTACTAGTAATAACTTGTTTATAAACAAATGGTAGTATTTATGTTAACTTACATTATTTATTGTCGTATACCGTACTAAATCTTCCCATTGCAAGGTCCGTTTCCTCTTCCAGGAAATAGCCCTGGGAATATCATTTGAAGTTTTTATTGCATATGTCTTCATGGCGGGAAAGGCCTCAAATATCCAAATCTACAAACAATATAATAACAAACATTAGTAATTGTTAAATAATTACTTATAATTTTGGAAACATCATATAAAATTCTTACCTTAAAGGCCCAAATAAAGCCTGTCAAAGTGTATTTGGAACCATCGCCATGCAACTTTTTCGATCATCCAAGGCAGACGATAACTTATTCCATGTAGCTTTCCATAAATACGAGCCCCACGGAAACAGGTTCCACGCATTTAGGTCTTCTACCAATTTGATTAGATCATTTGGAATAGGTTGTCTGGCCTCTCTGCCTAAAAAACCGGCATGCAAAAGAATTAGAAGGCATACTCGGACAACGTCGACGTCATCCATCCGAGTAAAACCATCTTTATTATTCAAAATCTTGTCAGGTCTTCTACGTGTAGACTCGGCCTCTCCAGCTCAGGAAAAACCCGGGATAGCCATGATGGGCGGGTAATGTGTCTAGTGTACCGACCTACATCATCGTGTCCGAAGCGTAGACCGGTGATTAAGCAAAACTCCTCCCGCCCAAAACACGTATACGCCGGTGGAAAATCAAACCATATCTCTTCATCACGACGTTGTATAGTCTCTGGTAGATCACTAGTCATGGTTTGAAGAAGCAGGTGTGTCAACATCGCATCTCCACCGGGATGTTGTACTTTTAGCCATGGCCCGAAGCATGTATCCTCAAACATTTTTCTTTGTGCAGGTGAAAGCTTCGACGCAATTGTTTTGGCCAGGCTGACTTTATTTCTCAAGGTCAATTGAGCCGAATAAAAGTTCTACAAAAACAATAAACATACTAAATTAGATATACCAAAAACTACACTGTGAAGATATACCAAAAACAATAATAAACATAAATAGTAGTAGTTTATTCTTCAAACTTAAATATGCAACACTGTGAATTTCGTATTTGTCTTTGTTTTTTGGTTGAAGTAATGCAATTCATTCAAGTTTCAATTTGCAGAAGAAGAATAGTTTTTGAAAATGAAAATCGCAACACGAAAATGAAAATCGCAACGCGAATTCGACTATCGCAACGAGAGAATCGCAACGCGAAACTAAAATCGCGTTGCGATTTGCATTTCGCGTTGCGATTTTCGGTTGATTTAATAAGCAATCTAAGTGAAATGGTTAATCTATTATTGAAATTACCAGTAAACTTATCATCAATTTCAATATGAAAAACCTAATAATAATGCAAAAATTTCAAAAAGAAAATAATTAAAAAAACTAACCCTCGTTGGTTGATTTGGTTGATTTTCCATTTCTGATTGTGAGGGTGGCTCTGAGAGATGGAGATAGACGAATTTCGCCGGAGATGGGGACGGATTTCGTCGGAGATGGGTGAGAGAGTGAGAGATGGAGATGGGACTGAGTTGTGATTTTAGGTTTTAGGTTATGAGTTGCGATTACGGGATATACTGTGGACAGTTCAGTGTTCCAATATATTAATATTCGTGTTTGGAATTTAAAAATAAAATACTTGGCCAGGATACTAATGGCGCTTTGAAAATCGCATTGCGATTATGTATTATCGCGTTGCGAAAGTCAGAATCGCGTTGCGAAAGTCAGTATCGCGTTGCGATTTTTTATTATCGCATTGCGATAGTCAGTATCGCATTGCGATTTTCCCAATTCGCGTTGCGATTTACTTATTCGCATTGCGATTTTCCCAATTCGCGTTGCGATTTACTTATTCGCATTGCGAATTGGGAAAATCGCAACGATACTGTAGACCATCACAACGCGATTTTCAACTATCGCATTGCGAAAATGCAACGCGAATTTGCGATAATGGAGATCGCGTTGCGAATTAGCGATCGCATTGCGATTTTGTTGGTCAATTTGGCAAATTCGGAAAAAGTTGGTTAAAATCGTATATTATATGGGATTTTTGGTCACTGAGGTTATTTTCACTAAAAAAAACAACTAAAATATTGGTCATGAATGAGTTATGTATAATATTAAATAATAAAATGAGGAACGATCGAGTCAAATATAAATAATTAATAGAGTTTGAATTCATCAAATTAAGAAAATAAAAACACTGCCAATGTTACAAACTCAACTGCTCCGTTTGATCCTCCCTTTACCTTTTACCATATCCTCACGAAGGGGTCGAAAAGAGACTTGGGTAGGGGACCATCCCATTCCAATGATTCCCACCACTCCTTTGATGATATCTCAATTGAATGAGAAAGATTTGCAGACGCAGATGGTGGGACATTATCAAATTTGGGAAGATTAAGACCCATCCTTTTTAATCTTGGACAGTCCACAATCCGAATATATCCAAACTGAAAGAGAGAAATTTGCAGATGCAGATGCAAATGCAGATGGTGGGACAATATCAAGTTTGGGAAGATTAAGACCCATCCTCTTTAATTTTGGACAGTCTACAATCCCAATTTTTCCAAGAGAATCACAAACCAGTACTCCACCAGCACTGCAAATGCTCTTCAATTCCGGTAGATGACTCAACACCAATTCCCGTAATTGTGGAAGATGAAACTCTGTGATAACCATTCCTCTTTCCTCCGGTTCAACTTCTGATGTTATTATTTCCTCCAATTGCTTACACCCAACAACATTAAGCCTTCGTAAATTTGGCGGCACACAGTTGGAGGAGAACAACTTTTTCATATTTCTGCAATCTTTTATTTCAAGAGATTTAAGAGATGAAAAGGAGGAAAGTGAGAAGAGGATAAAGCTGGAGAAAAGCGGGTATTCCTCACTGCAATCAACACTGCAACACCCAATATCCAATCCCTCAATGTCACGTGGAAGCACAATCCGGTTGTTATAGATGTTACGATCTCTTACAACAATTTGTTTTCCTCCATATTCAGTAGACTTATGAAAGTATCTATTTCCCACGTAGATTATGTATTCACGAGGCTCTTCTCGGCCACGACAAGCTTGGAGATACATATTTAAGTTGTGCCAGTCATAAAACCTCCCTTCAAGAGTTCCCTGCAGTTTCTTCAATCCACCAACCTCCTTTCCATTTATCAGAGTTTCACCGACGATCAAGTCTTGAAGACAACAAAGTCTTGAAAGTACTCCATTCGGGATTTCCTTGATCTTTGTTCCTCGAAGATTCAACTTCTTTAAAACTTCAGGATTTGACAACGATGGAACATTCCCTAAATCACAACATTCAACCAACAATGAAGTGAGGTTCTTCAAATTTGATAAGGAATGCGGAAGACTCTTGATAGGATTGAAGGAAAGATCAAGAATCTTGAGTTCATTCGCATCATCGAAGAAGCTTTCTGGAATACTTTCTATACGACAATCAGACAACAACAATGTTGTGAGCCCGGGACACTTTGACAAGGAAATTGGAAGACTCTTGATAGGATTTTCGGAAAGATCAAGAACCTTGAGTGCATCCATATGCTTGAAAAATCGTTCTGGAATACTCGCTATATTGCAATGAGACAACAATAATGTTGTGAGCCTGGGGCACTTTGGGGGTGACATTTCCAAGGGTATATATAACCACTGATTCCATATCAACGAAACTTTCTCTAGATTCATGCTCCATTCTTGCACATCTGGTGCCTTTTCTAACATCATGCCGGCTTTTACCAAGAATCGAGATTTTGCAGTACGCAATGCCATGTCCCTTAGAAGATCATGCATTTTTACAGATCTTGCATGTTCTTCGTCAGCAAAAACTTCCAGCAAGCAATTGCTGATGAGTCTATTCATTATTGCACGACCCCTGTCAAACCCTGCCCTCATGCTATCCATTTCTTCCACAAGCCCTTCTGCGATCCAAAGTTGAATAAGACTTCGTTCTTCAATTTTCCAATCTTCCGGATATAATGCACAACTGAGGAAACAGTCTTGAAGTTTTGGATTCTTTAAACGATCATAACTAAATTGTAATTGTTGGAACACTTCATCTTCGAATCCATTAACACTCTTTTCGCGTAGACTTAATTCATTTAGTGCATTCCTCCATTCTGAAATGTCATCAATGCCCTTCATACAAGAAGCTATAGTAATTACACCCAAGGGCAAACCTGCACAATGCTTAGCAACTGATCTTGCAATTGGTTCCACCGCTGGAATATTGAGAATATCACAGCCCGCCTTCTCTAAGAACAACTTCCATGCCTCTTCTTCCGTCAGAGGCTTCACTTTAATCATTCTACAACCCATTTGTCGACACACATCAGCTGATCTTGTTGTCAACACTAATTTAGTCCCATTTGATGGCTCAGGAATTCCTATTCTCTCAAGTGAAACCTTCTCCCATAGGTCATCCAAGATCATCACAAACCTACTCTTCTGAGACAATGTTTCAAAGAGCCTCCCTGCCCTTGTAGTTTCATCTTCATCACCAGAAAATTCTACTCCAATTTTACTAGCAATGTCTTTCTGCAGTTTAGCAACATTCATCTCTTTGGATACAGTGATCCAAATCACAATATCAAATTTCCCTGTCTCTTTTAAGAGTTGGTTGTTTATAACCTTCATGATGCTTGTTTTCCCCACGCCACCCATCCCCCAAACTCCAATCTTTGGAACCTCATCATCCATCAAGCAATTCCAGATATCTTCAATACATGCCTTTACAGCTTCACCTGATAAACTTGTTGTCGATAAAACTTGTCCTATCCATTGAGGATTGTCAACCACCAAACCTCCATGAAACTTACCATGTTGAATAATAAGTTCTTCAACTTCCGTAATACTCTTTGACACATCTTTTGTGTGAAATCCACGTGTAAGAGCAGTACTTTCACCGATTCTTCCATCAAGGGCTTGCACTTCGACATTGACTCTTTCAACATTTTCCAACCATATCTGGACTTCCGCCTTGAGTTTCTTTCTCGGCTGCAGCTCTGATCTCATTATAGATTCTGTGTCTTTCTTCAAACCAATCAATTCCTCCAATTTCCTTTTAAGGTTCTTCCGATGTTGATCAAGGCTTCTATGATTGTCCAAGTGTTTATCTATCTTATTCAGAACAAAGTCCATGGCTGCAAGTCACAAGCAATATGTTAGAAACTAAATAATAACGCATCATTAGGTGAATGTATCTAAACATGACTAAAAATATAACTTCATTTTTTCTCTACAAAAATGTTTAAGAAATTATAAAGATGTAAATCAAGAAGTTTCACTCTCACGAATAATCAAATTAAATTAACATAAATTTAAGAGAGTGAAATTTCAAAATTTCAAGGCACAAAATTAAATCATGAATAAAAATACAAAAAAAAAATCTGAATTATAAGATAGTTTTTGGGTACATGGCTGTCAATAAACAAAATTTAACAGTAAATTTAAGGTCTATTTACATAACGACTAATCAAATGTTTCTTTTTCTTTATAGTTGACAAAAAATTAAAGGAAGATCCTATGAATCGACCTCAATAGTTAAGGGGAGTGTTGTTCTCATTAAAGGTATTGGATTCGAGCAGTTGCGTTTACAGTACGTGCGTTGTCAATAATTAAAAAAGATTATGAACATCTTGTAATCAGACAATTTTAAAAAACTTAATGTTGTTTTATCTTTTTGTTATCAATCATTTATTACTACTAATACTATTTATCTGGCATTATCATTTACAATATTCAATCTTAATGATAATGAAATTTGCTTTCATTCTTTGCTATTATGTTTTCTATTAATTTCTGATTATAAAAACAAACTAATAATTTATTCTTAAATATTTCCAATATCGAAAACATGCAAATTAACAATCCAATGCAAAATTGATATAATTGTAAACTAAAAGTAATATTACAATAATTAAATAATTTATAAGGGTATTTTAAAATGATTTAGCGAAATATTCTTAGTCCAATTAATCAAAATTATATTTAATTTACATTTTAATAAAATCTACATATTTCTTTTAATGAAAAATTAAAATACTAAACGAAAACTAAAAGTTAAATCCTAACCATAAGGAAATTATCATAAACAACAAAAAGGAAAATTTAATCTTAAAATAATATTAAGGAAATAATTTTAATTAAACATTTAAGGAGAGTATTTTAAAAGAATTCAAAAAAATATTAACATTTTAGAACACAAATCCTAAATAATTTGTAGGGTAAACTACACTGGTGACCACTTAATTATTGTCAGATTTCATTTTGATCACCGATGTATCGATTTAACCAGTCAGACCACTCAACTATTTAAATATTTCAATCAAGTCAATGTTCGTTAATTTTTTAATGGGAGAGGCGGCGTGGCAGTTAAAAACTTGGTATAATTACATATTTGGTTCTCAATATTTATACTTCTATCAATTTGGTCATAATATAATTCAATTAAAATAAATTTAATCTCTAATTAGATGATGACTTGTGCCACTACATGATTAGAGGATATTTTCTTAATTTTTATTTATTTAATTCAATGAATTTTTCATCGAATAAGGTGGTGACATGTCCCTATTAAAGAGATAAAATAAACGGGAGGAATGCATTAGGGGGGCATCAAACCTAAGACATTCTAAAGCCAAGCACGCCTTAACCACTCAGCTAAGCCTCCCATTTGGTTCCATATTACAACATGTTTTATATAACTTATTTCAATTAATGATAGAAAAAATGAAGTGAAAATGATATCAAGAAGATTCAAACCTGAGATTGTAAGCATGGATGAAACAATCATAACTACTAAGCCAAATCACATATTTAAAGAAAAGTTTTAGTATCTTTTATATATTCGTATTTTTACTCAAAAATTTATTTATCTCATAATATTGTTATTGATATAAAAATAAAAATATTCAGATGATATTTAACTTTTAATATTTTTAAACAAAATAAGTTTAATATTTTATTTTCAAAACCAAATTCAATTTTTTTTATATTTTTAAACAAAATTTATGAAATAATTCATTTCATATAAAAATAAAAATATTTTATATATTAAAAAATAAGTTTTATATTTTTTTATATTTTAAAACAATTATATTTAATGCAAGATTCAAAAATATAAAAAAAATCGAATTCAGTTTTAAAAATAAAATACTAAACTTATTTTACTTTGTTTAAAAATATAAAATATTAAAAATAAATAAATATCATTTGTTTATATGAATACAAAAAAAATTCTTTAAATATGTGATTTGACTGAGTGGTTATGATTTTTTCATCTATGCTTACAGCTCCATATTTGAATCTCTTTGTTAGCATTTTCATTTCATTTTTTTTTTGTCATTAACGGTAGTAAGTTATATAAAGGTTACTATGGTGTCTCAGTTTCACTCCTCCTTTGGTTCTTCTCGCCTTTTATTTTTTCCTCTTTAATTGAGCGATGACATGTGTCGTCATCTCATTAAATTAAAAATTTATTAAATTAAATAAATAAAAATTAAGAAAATATCATCTAATCAGATAGTTTAAATTTCATAAATACCTCTTTTGAGAAGGTTGTTCGAAGACGATGATCGGAGAGAAGCAGCTGATGAAGAAAACGGCCAAATGAAGTTCCTTGGTTTGCAGAAGAGCCGCTATTCACGCCCTAAATTTAAACTAAGCTTCACCTACAACACAGAGGAAATTTCTGGGAAAATATGAGGAAGCTCCGCTGCAACCACTTCAAAGAAATGCAAATAAAAGCTTGGTTTGAAATTATTGCCCTCTGCTGCTTTTAATTTCGTGTGGGGTAGGTCCTACCTGTCTGAAATAATGTTGGATCCGTAGAGCCTGACATAATCGACAATGAAATCTCTCTTCTTTTTCTAAGTTTCTATGACACTCAACGATGTTCATGCATCTGCTTTGGAAGCGGCCCCGCTTTAAAAGATTACATGGGGTTTTTCTGTTCTTAATCTTGCCTTATGGTAATTGCTTGATGAAACTTGTGCATCTTAATCGTGATGAGACCAGAATATGAAAGCATTTGAATTAATTTTCAAAAATAAAAAAAAAAGACCCAAATCAAAAGTCAATGTCAGGATCTTTGAAAAGATGGAAAGCAATAACATTGAAATAATTTACCATCAAGCATGAATTTTCTCAGTGTCAACTTCTTCAAAGCTCATTTAAGTCGCGCAGCAAGTAACCTCGCCAGAACTATGTGTAAGCGTAAGGTAAAATTACCATAGTAGTCCTTGTACTAAGTGGTAGATTGCATTTTGGTTCTACTAAAAAATGGACTTTTTTTTTGTCTTGAATAAATTAGTCCCTCCGTTCAAATTTTTGTCATCATCCCCACAGTTAAATGCTAACTTGACAGAAAAAATGGCTTATTAAATAATTGGTCATTATATTTGATATTTTCTCTTAAATTAATACTTTTACTTTTTGTTTGATACCGAATTTTAATTCCACCAATTATTTTGATATATTTTTTTATATCACTGTCGAACACTATGACATGTCAACATCAAATTTTAAAAGGTGACATCATTCGACTATTTTTTTTTAAAGAAAATAAAAATTAGTATATATATATATAACATCTACTTGTAGAACATAATATTACTAAGAGTATAAATAAATAAAACATTTGATGAATTATTAGTATAACATTTATTTTTTAAGTTAATTTGATAAGATAAATAAAAATTTTATATTCATTTAATAAACAAACAAATAAGAATATATGTGTGTTCAATTCATTTATGTTCATAAATAAGTTCGTTTATGTTCATTAACCAGTTTGTTTAGAATATCGTTTACTTTTTATTTTTCTTTATATTTTAAATATTGGTGAATGTAGGGACGAAATTAAACACATGATGAAATTAAACACATGATGAAAGTTGAAGTTTAAACTGTGAAACTTAAGGAATTTGAATATTAGTGATATAATTTTACCATATTTTAACTTACAAATGAACATATTCGTGAAAATTGAATGAATATGTTCGTGAACATATAAACAAACATATTCTCAAACGCTAAGAGAATGAACAATAACACTTTAAAAAAAGTAAACGAACATAAACACGATATTGAAAATTTAAACGAATATGAACCAAACATAAATACTTTTAAAATAATCAAACAAACACAAACATAACTTTATTCGTTTAAACTCTACTTATTTATACCCATAACTATTACTTCATAATTTCACTTTCTTTTTTTTTTGATAAGTCAAAATTTTATTATCCAAATAGCGATACGCTACAGAATACAATCAGAGTTCAATACAAATATTTACATTACAAAATTCATTGGTCAGCAATACCCCAATGATTGTAGAGAATAAGATTCAGGTTATCAACTTTATTGAATTTTCTACCATTCAGTTGGAGACAAACAACAGATTTAATATTCTTAACTAGTTCAGTAACAGGAGTTGATCGGCCGTGATACAGTCTTCTGTTCCTTTCTTCCCAAAGCAAGTAAACCAATGCATTCAAGGCAATCTTCATTACAGTAGATAACAATGATTTTCCTTTCCAGTTTGAGCTCGCCATTTCCAAGAATTCTTCCCATAAGTATCCTGTAAAATGCAAACCAGAAAAAGCGAAGATTTGTTCCCAAAGAGAAATAGCAGTAGGGCAAAGTAAGAAAAGATGGTCTCTAGTTTCCACTGCTGAGTTACATAAAAGACAAGAGCAATCATTAATAAGACCGATACGGTGGAGACGATCCTTGGTAGGAAGTCTGTCGAGAAAAGCCATCCAGGTTATCATACTATGTTTTGGAATGTGCAGAGGAAACCAAACGAGTTTATGCCAATGGACCTTCTGATTTTTCGCCCGAATGGAATCCCATATCGAGCTAGCTTTAGTAATGCCCGAGAGGAATGAGTTTTGTACCTCTGGTCTCAATTTAAGAAGTCGTCTGATGCACCAACTTGTATTGGGTTTAGCTTCAATTCCAAAAGTAAAGATGAATTTATACATAGTTAAAAATTATTAATTTCAAATCATTATTAATCCAATAATTGTCCTTATCTAATGAAATAATGAGATTTTAGTTAGGTGGCGAAAATCCTAATATCCGATCAAATCCAAATCAAAGTCGTAATGATATTAACTTGGCGCCACGTGAATCATCGGTCAACGGAAAGGCCACTCACGTTGTATCACATTATTTAGTTAGGTTTTTAGCAACTCTTCCACCATCCTACAACATTAATAAATCAAGGTGAGGGGTAAAGCTGGTATTTACTAATGGAATAGATTAGTAAAGAAAAATGAATCTCGTTTTGTAATATCTGATCTAAATTAATCGATCAAGAAATCAAAAATAAATGGTTGTCTCTTATTCCCATATGTAATGGGGTAAGGGGGAGGTAAGACAGTAGGCTGCCTCCAACACTAGGTTGAGAGCAGTTTTCGTAGAAGATCTCTGAATTATGAAATGCCTTCCATGAGACTCAATCTCACAAACTCAAGATTAAGAAATAAATGATTAATTTAAAAGAAATACTTTTTCAACATTAAAATAGTCTGAGTAAAGTATATAGATGATCCACCTGTCTTCCTCAATACATTCTGCATAGAATATTGATGCTGCTTCGTGGGACGATGCTCTTCGTGATCCTATTGTGAACCCTGAAGCTTTGTTTTAGCTTTAGTAAAGTTTTTCTTTCTCTGTCAATAAAGAAAAAATAATCATTTGATTTTTATTTTTGGCCACCATACTAATCACATGGTTGAATTTTTTATTAATTTATTTTGTCCATTTAATTGTAACTTTAGGCAAAATAGGCCCTAATTAATAACTTATTTTACTAAATAAAAGATTAATGATGAAAAGGGAGTTTTGAAATTTAAAAAAGTTAAATTAAATCTTATTATGTATATGAATCTGATTAAAATAATAATAATAATGTAAATTTCCAATCTTTTATTGATAAATAAGAAAACTTATTTTACTATTAAAAGATTTAACATTTAAAAATTTAATCAATTGAAACTTATATCAATATAAAACAAATTAAAATAAAATTTAAATCATGATAAATTAAAAAAGTAAATTTTTTTATATTCTGTAGAATATATATCATACCAGAAAAGAATATAAAAAACTCAAAAAAAATAACTAAAAAAATAAAAGATACAAACAAAACACCACCATAAAAAATGAAGGATAAACATCATCAACATTGACATAATAATAGAATATAATAACTTATTGACATTTGATTTTATCACAATTCAAGCACGACATAACTGGAATGACTATAAACAGTTATTAACATGAGAAAATTAACATCAGGATTTAAAGTAGAGATAAATTAACAAAATGACTAAATAATCACCGAGTAGAGAGGTGATGAGATATCAAACCCCTTACACCCATTTACTAGTTACGTTTTCAAAGATTTTCCCACCATCAGTGGAAGACCTTACTACAACGGGAGTCATGACTTCTGTCTCCATAACGACGATAAAACTTTTCTGAAAACTTTTTGACAACATACAATTTGGGATTCTTCATATACTAATTCAATCATACAACATGGAAAAGATTAATGAGATCCTTATTTTCCCCAAAAACGTACACAGATGAGGAACAACAAGAACAAAGAAGAGATATATAATAAGAGAATGACACAATATTATGCATTTCAACGTCAACAACTACTGGTGCAGACAACTTGTTTTGCCAGCTTCAATCCTTAAAAAAGTGGAACAACTTTGCTCAAGGTACTTCTGGAAAGGAGCAGATAAATCTGCTGTTGGTGCTCGTGTGAGCTGGGAAATTATTTGTCTATCCAAATCGAAAGGTGGCCTCGGACTGAAGAACATTAAATCTTGGAATAGAGCTTGTCTCATTCGTCTAATTCGGAAAATATTAGCGGGAGATGGATCACAGTGGGTTGCATGGTTAAAGGCATACGTTTTTAAGGAGCAGGACTTTTGGCAATTCCGAGCTGCTGCAAATGTAAGTTGGAGTATCGGCAGAATATTAAAATCAAGGGCTGAAGCTCTTCCAATTCTTTCAGTCGGTTCTCCGCAAGTAAAGGAAATTTGGGACTTGATTCGATCTAAAGGGCAAAATGTTTCATGGCATAAAATAATTTGGTTCCCATTGCATATTCCGAAGTTTAGTTTGATAGCTTGGATGGCTTTACTGAACAAATTGCCAACTAGAGACAGGCTTCTTCGAATGGGAATTAGCACTGACGGTATTTGTGTTAATTGCAACAACTCAAACGAGACAAGGGACCATCTCTTTTCGCACTGTTCACTAGCAACAAATCTCTGGAACTCAATTCTGAACCTTAATGGGATGAAGACTACTTATTTATCATGGGAAGATATGGTTTCGAAGGCATGTTCATCATGGAAAAGGAGGTCTCTTTTTATTACCATTCTTAAACTCTCTTGGACTGCTTTTATCTACTCTTTGTGGCAGGAAATAAATCAGAGAATATTTCAAGGAAGACGTAGAACGATCAAACGCTTGCTCAAAGATGTTAAAGACGTTGTCGGAATCCGCCTCAGGAGAACTAATATTAATAGACTTGATAGTACGAACTTAAGGCTTTGTAAGGTTTGGGGTATAGTCTAACCAATCATTTTGTAGGTTGTTTATTTGATTCTTTCGTTCTAGATTGGTGGATTGATTGTAATTAAACCTTGAGTTGGGTAATAAAATCATAATTATCCAAAAAAATATTAGTTAAACGGTGATAACTCTGCACCCTAAATGTGTCAAGTCAGCTTTTTGTGACATAGATAACAATGTTTAACGACACAATTGTTTACCACTTAAATCAGTCCCGTTGGTAAATCTAATCATATCTTCAAAAACTCATTTAAGTCTCTCGTTCAAGTGAAATTATCTAACGAATTCTGTTTATTATATAATTTATAGTTTCAACAAATAAAAATCATTTATCTCACTCTTTTTCTCTATGTTATTATCAAATATGGAAAAAGAATGAAGATTTATCCTTGGAAAAAATGACATAAATGATAGTTATTAGTAGGATTATGAATAACGTGATAAACGGGATTCCTATAATACTTTTTAGTGTAAACTACCAGTTTAATATCTAAATTATCAATTTTGATTCGTTTTAATACCTAAATTTTTATTTTTTTAAAATTATTTCTGACATTTAGGTTTTGTTTCATTTTAGTATCCCACTGTTAAAAATTTAACGTACGGGTTGACGTGGCATAACTCCAGTGGAGGGACGACCAATCTGAACGGTGGACTGCAAGAGAATGAAGAGTCGACCAACATAGTCCATTTTCAGGCTCATCGGGTTGTGGACCATGGAAATCGAAGGATGAATAAATCAAAGAGTGCATCATCAATTTGGGGAGATTGAGGCGTTTCTCGATGAAACAGATGCCAGAATTGCGTTTAGGGGGTCGAAAAGGTGCGGGATGGAAAGTTTGAATTTTATCGGCCAACGAATACGAAAATCGACGATTGTAGACGTGGTGGCTGACGGATACGACGTTCGACGACTGTAGATGCGACGACGGACGAGCCCATCCGTTAAGTTTTTAACGGCGGGGTACTAAAATGAAATAAAAAATAAACGTTATGTATGATTTTGAAAAAAAAAATGTATTAAAACGAACCAAAACTGATAGTTTAGATAAATGTGTAATTTATCCTAAATTTTATTCATATAATAATCCAGCTTTCATTCACCAAAGTAATTCCCCGTAAACAAGAAAATAAAAGCAATGCCAATGGCCCGTAGTTCCCCCGACTTTTAACAAAGAGCTATCCAGTTTGATCCTACTAGAACACCCTCACCAAGGGCTCCAAAAGAGACTTGACATCCTATTGACACTGATTCCCACCACTCATTTGGCTTTATATAAACACCAAGAGAGAAGGTGGAGGTACATATGCAGATGCAGATGGTGGCACATTATCAGGTAGGGGAAGATTAAGACCCATTCTTTTTAACTTGGGACATTTCAGTACTTCAATTTCTACTAGAGAATCACAAACCACTACTGAATCCACACTGCAAATGCTCTTCAATTCCGGTAGAGAACACAACTTCAATATCCTTAATTGTGGAAGATGAAATTCCACGGTAACCATTACTCTTTCATCCACTTCTGATGCTATTATTTCCTCCACTTGCTCACACCCGACAACTCTAAGCTCTTGTAAATTCAGTGGTACGCAGTCTGGGGAGAACAACTTTCTCATATTCCCACAATCATATATATGAAGAAATTTAAGATATGAAAAGGAGCCAATTGAGGAGAGGATAAACCTGGAGAAAAGGGGGTATTCTTCACTACAATCAACGTTGCAATCCCAGATACGCAATCCCTTAATGTCACGTGGAAGCATAATCTGATAGCTGTAAATATTACAACCACATACAACAATGTCTTTTCTTACTTCTTTACCCACCGCATGCCATAGTACACCTCCCACAGAGATTATGTATTGTCGTGGCTCTTCTCGACCACGACAAGCTTGGAGATACATATGTAAGTTGTGCCAGTCGTAAAACCTTCCTTTAAGAATTTCCAGTTTCTTCAATCCACCAACCTCCTTTCCACTTATCAGTGTTCCTTCCACGATCAAGTGTTGAAGGCAAGCAAGTCTTGAAAGTATTCCATTTGGGATCTCATTTAGGTTCTTTGACTGATCCAGATTTAGATATTCGAGACTCACCAGGTTTTCCATTCCTTGAGGATTTGCTTGATATATGTTCTTTGGAGATCCAACTTCTTTAAAACTTTAAGATTTGACAACGATGGAACATTCTCTAAATCTTTACAATAAGCAAGTAACAATGAAATGAGATTCTTCAAATTTGATAAGGAATGTGGAAGACTCTTGATAGGGTTGAAGGAAAGATCAAGAATCTTGAGTGCATCCATATGATCGAAGAACTCTTCTGGGATACTCCTTATACCACAATCAGACAATAACAATGTTGTGAGCCCGGGACACGTCGACAAGGAAACTAGACGACTCTTGATAGAATTTCTGGAAAGATCAAGAATCCTAAGCCCATTCATATGCTTGAAGAACCCTTCAGGAAGACTCGCTATATCACAATCAGACAACAACAATGTTGTGAGTCTGGGGCACTTCGGGGGTGACATTTCCAAGGGTATGTATAACCACCGATTCCCATCAACGAAACTTTCTCTAGATCCTTGCTCCATTCTTGAACATCTGGTGCCTTTCTTAACATCATGCCCGCTTTTACCAAGAATCGAGATTCTGCAATACGTAATGCCACGTCCCTTAGAAGATCATGCATCTTTACAGTTCTTGCATTTTCAACATGAGTAAAAACTTCTAACAAACAATTGTTGATGAGTCTATTCATTATTGCACGACCCCTGTCAAACCCTGCCCGCATGCTATCCATTTCTTCCACAAGCCCTTCTGCGATCCAAAGTTGAATAAGACCTTCCTCTTCAATTTCCTCATCTTCGGGATACAATGCACAACTGAGGAAACAGTCTTGAAGTTTTGGATTCTTTAAACGATCATGACTAAATTGTAATTGTTGGAACACTTCATCTTCGAATCCATTAACACTCTTTTTGCGTAGACTTAATTCTTTTAGTGCATTCCTCCATTCTGAAATGTCATCAATGCCCTTCATACAAGAAGCTATAGTAATTACTCCTAAGGGCAAACCTGCACAACGCTTTGCGATCGATCTTGCAATTAGCTCCAGCCCTGGAATATTGAGAATATCACGACCCACCTTCTCCAAGAACAACTTCCATGCATCTTCTTCCGTCAGAGGCTTTACTTTAATTACTCTACAACCCACTTGTCGACACACATCAAAAGATCGAGTTGTCAACACTAACTTACTCCCATTTGATGGCTCAGGAATTCCTATTCTCTCAAGTGAAACCTTCTCCCATAGGTCATCCAAGATCATCACAAACCTACTCTTTTCAGACAATGTTTCAAAGAGAATCCCTGCCTTAGTTGTTTCATCTTCATCGCCAGAAAATTCTACTCCGATTTTACTGGCAATGTCTTTCTGCAGTTTAGGAATACACATCTCTTTGGATACGGTGATCCAAATCACAATATCGAATTTCCCCGTCTCTTTTAGGAGCTGGTTGTTTGTAACTTTCATGATGCTTGTTTTCCCCACGCCACCCATCCCCCAAACTCCAATCTTTGTGACCTCATCATCCATTAAGCACTGCCAAATATCTTCAACACAGGACTTTACAGCTTCACCTGATAAATTTGTTGTCGACAAAATCTGTCCGATCCATTCAGGATTGTCAACCACCAAATCTCCATGAAATTTTCCGTATTGAGTAATAAGTTCTTCAACTTCCGTTGTACTCTTTGACACATCTTCTGTGTGAAATCCACGTGTAAGAGCATTGCTTTCACCAATTCTTCCATCAAGGTCTTGCACTTCGCCATTGATTCTCTCAACATTTTCCAACCATATTTGGACTTCTGCCTTCAGTTTCTTCCTTGGCTGCAGCTGTGTTCTCATTATAGATTCCGTATCTTTCATCGTACCATTCAATTCTTTTAATTTCCTTTTAAGGTCCTTCATATGCTGATCAAAGCTCATGTGATTGTCCAAGTGCTTATTAATCTTATTCAGAATAAAGTCCATGGCTGCAAGTCACGAGCAATATGTTAGAAACTGGGCAACACAGTTAATGAACATGGGTAGAAAGCAATATATGCCATGGACTTGCAGTTTATGAAAAAATCAAGTTAATGAACGTAAAAAGAATGAAAAAGAATCATGTTCCTTGCTGTTTATGAGATTTGAAAGAAATACCTCTTCTGACAAATTTGTTCGGAGATGACCGGAGAGAACTAGCGAAAAAACGTTCCTGATAATATGAGGACACGGTGCTATAAAGAGCCACTCCAAAAGGTTCTCTATGCCTGACTGCCTGTGCTAGAATCACCTACACTAAAGCAATTTTCACCAACAACAACAACATACAAGGAAATCACATACCCTTGGCGGAACAAGTAACTGTTACACGCACACAGCACAACAGGTAATTACAAATTTCCAAGTGTATTGGTAATTGTTGTCTTTTTTTACCTTACAGGCTACTGATATTGGTATTTGTTATTTGGGTTTATTTATTTATTTATTATTAAATTAAGTTTATTTTGAAATGTATTTTTTTTATAGTTAGGACAGTGTTTAGAATAATTATAGCGTCGTGCCTAAGGAAATAAATAAGATTTGCAGAAAGTTTCACGTAGGAAAATGTTTGAACTTTGAAGCGTGTTTATTGTTTTTCAATGGTTTATGTCATGGGCAGTGTAGTCAATAAATACCTGCTGGGAGAAGATAATGAAGGTTGGGTCAAATAACTTTATTGTTTTCATATCCATTTTCTTCTCTTTATATTTAATACTAATTTTATACTGCAAATAAAAAAGGAAAAAAAAACCAAAGTATGTTAGGTTAGGTACAACGACGTCAATTTTAATAAAAAAAATCAAAGTATATTTAATAATAAAGATGGTTAGGTGCAATCACTTCAATAAAGGCAAATTAAGTTTGATATCACTTTATTAAAATTTCGAGTTTGAGTATTTGTATATGT